GGGGCACCAAGAGTGGCCAACCAATTTCAGGAGCGGACCCCTGCTGGTGAACCCAGGCTCATGGCACCATGATTCTCATTGAGTCTCACTGATCAGGTAGAAAGACGACCATAAAGGTGTACCCTTTCTGTTAAAGCTGGATAGCATGCCTGGCTCTATTTGGAGAAGATCAGACCGAGGAACAACCCCTCCCTCCCTGTGTTTTCCTCTGTTTGGTCTCATTAAACCGTCTCCATTTCATCCCCCCTTTTTTTGACAGAGGAGATCTGCTTCCCTAGTGGTCTGACAAGCTGCCAAATAGAGCACATGAGCAGGCTGCTGAGAGTCCTCTGAGACATCCAAGAACCTATTACTCACTATCCAGGTCAACTCTGTGTTCACCGTTCACGGAGAAGGCTTGCTGTCTGTAGCCGCACCATCCGACGCTCGGCAGCCGCAGGAAGCGAGAAAGGAAGCAGGCAGGCCTGACTCCAGAGCCATTACCGTCAGACTTCTTGCCAAAAGATAATGCTGGCGGTGTTGTGGTGGAGGATATCAATTCAGATAATGAAGCTCGGTAACGACATGAGCCCAAAGCTCTTACAGTAAGTCTTTAAGATAGTGCTGATAGAGTGGTAGTGGACTACAGATAATGAGTCTCGTGGACCTGATCCTATTCTGTGCAGCAGCTTCTTCACAATAAGAGCAGGTGGTCCAACATATTTCCAATTCTGTCTGTGGGATGAAAATACTGAACTTGAGTTTTTTCATGCAAAGACACAGCACCGTCACATCCTTGTAACAATATGCCTGACTATAAAATTCCTGCTTGAATTGTTGTGATGTGACTGACACACTGTCCACACACTGCATAAACAACAAGCTTCTGCACCCCAAAATAAAATCTGCCTGGACCACAAACTGCTTAAACACAAATGTCTCCCCAACCCATCACCAAAAACACACACACACACACACACACACACACACACCAGTCAGAGGCATTCCCCCCTCACACACACACCCCTCATACTACCCAGACAGCTGGTCTCTTACCTATGCAAAGCTGCAACACATAGGCGTAGTATGACCACGCCACTATGAGGGCGATGAAGAGGACCGGGATCCAGTACAAAACTCTCTGACAGCCCTTCTTGATACTACGCGAGCCCGACGGTGCCATAGTCTAGGAGAGGATCATTTCTCGTGCGCATCCGTGTGTTACTCTCCCTCCCTCCCTCTCCCTCTGTGTGTGAGCGCGCGCGCGTGTGTGTGTGTGTGTGTGTATGTGTGTGAGTGTGCGTGCGCCTGTGTCTTCCTGTAGACTGTCACTGCATCGTGTGCTCCGGCTCTGATCAGCCTAATCGGCAGCTCAGACGCAACATCCTACCAGCCTCCAACCCGCTTCTGCTGCTGCACTGCTCCCCTCTGATTGTCCTGCTCAGATCTCTAGTAGCCTACCGACGACAACACGCCACCAGACAGCTCACACATGCACACACGCGCACAGAGTCTGCGCCGCCCCTGCTGCCTCCCCACAGGTTGCCATGACGTCCGCGGGATGCTGCAAGCCTGGCACATTTTTTTTAATTTTTTTACCACCGCGAGCAGATGGGTTCAATAAGTTCATACTCGCGAGTGTGGAAACGGCGGTCTGTTCACACACAAAAACACACACGCACGCACACGTAGAGGCACGCGCGACATGACTGTAGGGGGGCACGGGTTCTGTTGAACGACAGGTTAGTTGTTTATCAAAGAAGAAGATAAAATGTTTATTTATTTCAAAGTGAGAAGTGTTTTTTCAGACATTCCTTATTATTTTGTCCCCTTATATTATACCACATTACTAGTAAACTAGTATCGGTCTGACTACTGTTGTGTGGTTTGCTTGTGTCAGAGGTTAAGCTAACATATTGTGTTTTATCATTACCTGATAGTGGAGGTTGAGGTCTACAAGATCCACCTGCTTCGGCTGCCTCACGCCCAACTGCACCTGCAAAATTGCTTGCAACCCTGCAGTACTGTAAGCTGTAAAAGCCCACCTGCACTCTGTTTCACATTTCACATACTACGTTCTTTAAAACATTTTCATAAATGCTGTTTGAATGTGTGAAGAAAAAAAAATTAAGTTATGGTTTTCCATCTGTTGCCAATTTCGTGGGTGGGTGACACGCTGCAGCAAACTAACAATATGCACATCTCGGTCTTACTGTTAGAACAGATGGCTCAGTAATGTGTTAAGAATATTGTTTATGTAAATATGATGTTATTCAAAAACTACACAAACACACATATAATTTGTGGGGATTTACCAGGCAGGGAGTGTTGGACGTTATTAGCCATTGCTGTCCACATTACATTTATGTCATATTGCGAGAGTAATAAGCTGAAATAAGGGATGTAGTCTCTGTAACATTGACGAGGTGTTTAGTATTTAAACCTGGCTGACATTATTTGTGACGTTCTTTGCATAGTTTTAATTCTGTCTTACAGGAACATTGAGAGGACGTTCATTACTCATGCATATTATGAAGATTCATCTGCAATCAGTCCAACAACGTGAACTGTCCTCTGTGTCTGCGTCTCCTCTCCGACTGGAGTCTCTGTTGTGGGTGAGGTGAAAGACACTATTGAGCTTTATTATGGGAATTGTAGAATCCCGTGTCTTTTGACGCTCAATGCTAAATTTGTTCGAGTACCTTTTTCGACTCAGAAGTTTTTTTTTGTTCATGTGAAACAAGGTCATACTGAGGGGAAAGGGAAACCTGGGCAATAGTGGGTGAAACTACTACAACATAGGGGTAGGTGATGTGATGCCTGTGTAGAAATCCTCAGCAATGTGTGGGTGAAATGGGCAAGCAATATTGCAATAACCACACAGTGTCATGTCACAAAACAATAATTATATTAGTTTATTTATTTGCCAATAAAAACCCAAGGTACTGTTGGATCATTTAGAGAACTAGGATCCTACTACACAGGCCTGAATAGATCAAATTGCTCAGAGTTAATGGATGAACTTTGAAATTAAACTTTCCATTATATCTCAGGGATCTTTTACATGTTTGAAGGACCTCGTTGATCTCACTTCAAGAAGTTCAGGATTAGAGTGTGAGACTGCAAATTATTACCCTGCTGAATGAATCATTTAAAGATTAAAAAAAAAGTCCCTGATTAGAGTTCCGTACACCCACACAGCCTCAGGTCCCTGATGATTAATACTGTTAATGATTCGCCTCCAGGTTTAGAATAAAACCACTAATTTATTCTTCTGTGCTCCTGCTATCAGTCGCTACAAAGAAGGGCAGGTTGACGGCCATTCGCCTGGTGAGAACGGTGTGAACGGTTCACAGGTTAGTAGCTGTTTGTGTGTGAGAAAGGGCACAAAACCACCAAATGTTTTACATTATATTTATTGTACCATGTCATTATAAATGCATCGGTGTAACAGCTGAGGCCTGGTTTAAAAGAACAACACACGGCGAGAAGTTTCCAAAAACTCTCCAAGAGGTAGACGGACTAATCTGGTTGATATTACAGCATGTAACATGTTGGTATCTTGTTTCAGTACATAGCTCCACCCAAAGCAAACATTACACCAGGAAACAACGGCCATCAAGAATTCACACACACTGCACTGTACCGTAGTACAAGTGAGGATTCCTATAAAGAAGATGAAGTGTAAACTCTTTCTCAGAGAGCATAAAGGGAAGGTAATTACAATGTATTACTCCAAAACTAATTTAAGCTGAGTGTCCCCAAGAGTGGAACAAACACATGGCTTTAATTCTTTGCATATTTATTTATAGAGAGGTCATCCCTGCCAGTGGCAAGAAAATAGCACTTTTCTTTTATCAGCTAAGAAATGATTAACACTGGTAGCTGCCTGTAGTTAAACAGTGAAAACGCCACAGACTGAATGAGTTTGTTCAAGCCTGCTGCAGCTCTGGGGGATCCTGGAGGATTTTAGCTGCAGAGAGAGAGAGGAGGAGGAGGAGGACGACAGGGAGGAGGGGAGGTGCTGTCCTGAGCTGATCTGTGCAGGGGGCTGCAGAGCCGGTGGGAGAGTGAATATGTGAGCAATGCTGCCGCCACCGTACCGAATGGAGCTCGGGACAAACGGAGATTCGAACTGAACAACACACACTGGCAGAGCAGTGATAAGACAACATTGGACTTTAAGTTAAATAAATAAAATCAGTGTTAACAATCTTAAACTGATCAACATATTTACAATCAATAAATAGTTCAATATCTTCTGAGCAGGCAAAAAGCAGTTAGACAAACTGATTACTTCAAATTAGACTCCTGCAACACTGTTAAGTTTGCTTCACCACTTGCAACAGCTTCCCATTAGGCTGACCACTTCCTGTGTGTGCCACATCCTGTTTATTTAAAAGCTTCTAACATAGGGCAATAAGATGCTGCAGCATGCATTAACCCTTCTGTCCCTGGTAGAGAGCAACGAGGAGGCACCGCTCGTCCAGTTAAGACAGGCGCTGATGCTGGGATTTCCACCTGGTGACAGAACAGAGGGAGAACGGTAAATACAAGTCCAGTGGGACACTTTGTAAATGTAAACACACTGTGTCGCCACTGTGGACCATCTCGTTGTCACAACAGAACAGCAGTACATTGTTTTATGTATTAGATACTGAGAAACCAGAATACATTAGACTACAGAGAAGCAGAAACCAGTACACCTCTTGATCAAACAGTCATGTGGTGCAGCAGCAGTTCTGCAAGTGTGCAGAAACAAATCTGGGTCCTCTGCAGTGACCACAGCTGTGGATCTGTAGCATACAAGCAGCAAGGAGCAATAGTTCTCCCACATATCTACACATTTCACTTCTATCTACTTTAATTTAAAGAATAACATGGGACGTAATGCCAGCACAGCTGTACGTTTACATATGTAGATTTGTGTAAAACAATCATCGGTCCAGGTGGGCAAAAAAAGCATAACTCGTATTGTCTTTTTACGTAAATATGCCAGCAATGCTCTTCGTTCCATATGGAAAAACGAGAGTCTACACTGGAAATGCGCACAGTTGGATTTGAACGTCACTTTGTCAGAGCGCATTCATCGTAGCTAACGTAAACCACCATAAACGTCAAGTGTCATCATGGCACCCGCGGATCATCTCATAACTGAACAATTGTGCAAAATTGGATTTTCAGAGCAAAAAAAAGAAATCATGGCGACCTAAATCAACCGACAAAGAGGGACAGAAACGTGTACGTCATTTTCAAACACCGGTAAAAACAGAAACATGTGGCTCTGTGGTGGTGCTAGCAGTCAGCGACTGTATCTACGTGTTTACGGTCATGGATGAGAATCCCGACTATTGGGACGGAGAAACATTAACGATGGCTGCTGGATTGAACTTATTGCTGTCAAATGGATGTCCCTGTTTGCAGTAAGGGACTCATCGCTCTCACAGCTCCTTTCCCTTTTAAATGACTTAGAAGACACAGTTCAAGAAGGAACAAAGTTGCTGCAGCTATTGCAGACAACACCAGCCAGCACAGCCGCGGTGGAGCGAACGTTTTCTACCTCGATACGGATACAGACATGTCGGAAGGGTACTGGACAAACACGGCTCTCGGCCTTTGCTATTCTGTCAATTGAGAGCCAGAGTTTAAATACAGCGAAGGGCCATTAGGACAAGTTTAACAAAGTCATAATTCATGTGTTCACCTGGAAAAGATCGGCAGATGGATTTTATCTACAAGTAGCCAAGACCTACAGATTGGTGAGTAAGTGTACTTTTTACGACTTTATGTTTGACTTCATGCTGAATGACCTGTGTTTAAACTGTTGTTGTTCGAAGCGTCATCTGTTGTCATATTTGATGATGCCATCACCCTAAAAACTGGGGGAAATCTAATAATGCGTGTTAAATGTAATGTATGACGCTGACCACCTCCTGCCTCTGGAGCAAGCCGGAGAGCAAACAGGTTTTTGACCTCAGTGAAAATGTTGTTTTTGAAAGGCTAACCTCCACCATATGGAGTGAAGCAGAATATTTCATTAGATCAAAACATGTGGTGAATTTTGGAAATGATTGCATCGTTTATCAACAAATTTTGACTTTTGGACTTGGGAATTTGTCAGAGACTTGGACTGGGTGCTGCATCGTTCACTTAGTGCCTGTTTTAGATAGAAGTCGGACTGTTGAACACAATGTTTCTGTTACTTATCAATATATATTTAATATTTGAAAGCCAACATTATGAATAAAGCTTCTGAGTTTTCGGTGCAGCGCTATTATTTTTCATTTAGGTAGATGACGATAGATTGGTAGATGCAGCCTGTAACAACAGGCTACTATAAGGCTACTGTAAAAAATAAAATAAAATAATACATTTATTAATCAGAGCACCCGCAAAAGAACGTAGACGCAGAGCGATAGATATATCTGGAATTTATAATTGATTCTTTCAGATCAGCAGAGGTAGGCGCGTAGAAACAACTGTTGTTTGCGGCGCACAAATCTCCTACGTGCGAGAAACAGCGCTGTCCATGGTCCTGAAACAACAGCCTGTCACGAACTCCGATGAATTCAGTGCGCACTACCGGCAATTTAACATTTTTCTCTTTGGCTAACGTTTCTTTTTCTTGCTCACCGGTACAGCCAGTTCTCTGTTCTGCCCCCTCCATAGGTTCTCTAGGTGATTCATGACCGTGCAGCGCCAACGTTTTGCCCCAAACCAAATATCTACTAGTATCTTTTATTCACTGTAGGAAGTCAAAATGTGTGTCTTTATCCTGCTGTATAATATGTGTGAGTATCCTGCTCCTAAAACCTAAATGAAGAGCCTCAGCTGTGCATGCAAACCTGCCCGTCTGACTGGCTGGTGTTGACTCCAGGATATAAGCATCCTATAATACAGCATAGAGTACTAACACTGTGGGTAAATACACAAACACAAGCATTGTAAGTATAAGTATATAATATTGTAAGTTAGTGTTGCGAGCTGAAAGTACGTGACTTCTGTCATGTGCCTCTGGCCTGCTACGGCCGAGCAGCTGCTAGACAGCGGGAGTTGTGTATTCCTGTTTCCACAGTAACGTAGGCGGGCACATGAACTGTAACCTGCTACAGTGTTTGGGAAACCCTCAGATTCTTTCTGTGGTTTGTTACGTACTTGTTTTTCGTATATTTGGGTTTTTTTGCATTTGATTTGTTCATTGTAAGTCAACAGGCTTAATTGTGCTTGCGTTGTTGTATAACGATAAACAGTTATAGTTGTGATCGTTGAATATCTCACCTCACCTCACAGTCACTGTCGATCCGAGCACACTAACACGCTGCTGTGAGTCACGGGAACAGGAAGTTACAGTCTGTTGCAGCTACAATTAAGTTCATGAATTTCAGAGCAGTTGTATATTATCTTTTGCTGTTGAATTTTATGGAGGTATTAACAGTTTGTTTTTTAAAGCCTCCCCCTTACATCTTTTTGCACTTTGTCATAATGCCCCTGATCTTTAATCTTTAACATTCAATCTTTGACATTCATGGATCTGGTAAAACTTAAACCTGCACAAAATATGTACCAAGACAACAAAAATGTGTATTTTATTTTGTGGTGTGAATTTGTGGAATCGTTAAGATGAAGATTATATATATAACTATTATAGATATGATTAAAACACTTTAAGAAAATGTATTTAAGGTACAGAGGTGAGGAAGAGTCCTTGTCTCTCTCAGGACTGTGACGCTCCTTGTTGACGTTGTTCTTGTTATTCTCTCTCTCTCTCTCTCTCTCTCTCTCTCTGTCTCCCTCTCTCCGTCTCTCTCTGTCTCTCTAGATCTGCCAGCAAGGTTACAGTCATGTCAGAAAATGTAAATGCTTCCGGAGTGAAATATTAATTGTCCACTGCACTTTCACATTTTTAAATAAAACAAATAATGAATCAAAATGGTTGCATTTTTTGTCTTTTCTCTCAAAATTCTCAAAACTAATTGAAAAAACATCGAGATCAAGTCCTCTCCTGAGATTATCAAGCCCTCTCCCAGGAGGTGCATTTCCTTTGAAATATTGAAACACGCAGCTTTAAAGTGCACTGCTCACTGCTCGTGTGCAGACCTAAGCTGGTATCTGGTGGCAGTTGATCAGGCGTTAATAATACAGTGTAACTCAATGCTTCGGGCGAGCAGAGTGTGGACCTTTCGAAGACTGACTGGGATACTGTGGCTGGGAAACGCTGTTACGGAACAGTTTAGAAACCCAAATCATGTTGCATTAGTCAACCTCACATTAAGCATTGTTTATTTTTGCCCCATTTAACAAAGAATGCTGACAGGATGAGAACATACTTTACCTATTTGCCTGAGAGCTGCTTCCTCATGCAGGACTTAAAAGAGGTGAACTTCTCCTCCACTTTGACGCCCTGTGTGTGTGTGTGTGTGTGTGTGAGAGAGACAGAGAGAGCGAAAGAGAGGAATACTATTAGAGGGTCAATGTCATGGTGTCCCACTAGATGGCAGTATAATTTCACAAAAATCACTAGTCGCCAACCCAAAGGTGAGGTGTGTTTCAGTAATAAAAAGTGTCAGGAGTGTAATTTAGACGTTGTGGTGTGGAGGAACTTAAGTCTACCACCACCTAAAGAAAAAAGAGACGATTAGCGCTTACTCAGAGCTGTAATTAAACAGGAGGGGTGGTGTTTGTGATGCTAATAGCTGCTTAAGTACTCTGTTCTGAAAATAAACCAGTATATCTGTGCTCAACATCAACCCACATTGGCCTTTTTGTCCTTTCGCCCTGTTAAATCTGACTTGTCTTTGCATCCTTCTGTCCGTCTGTGAGCTCTTTGCGGTCCCCATTTTTTGACGTAAAGAAGTAGCTCACAAAGACCAACAACGCTGGTGTCATTCACATCAGCCAGTGCTGCTGCGGAGTCCAGACACCGACACCTCTGTCACCTCCAGAGTCATAAAAGAGCAATAAATGGCCTCTGCCGTCTCACCCCGCCGCGGCGGTGCAGCCGCTCCTTCATGACGCCGATGAACTCCTTGTGACTGAGCTTATCGTCGCGGTCCTCGTCGAAGATCTTGAAGACCGTGTTGACCAAGTGGCGGCTCAGCTTGATGCCCGTGGCCACGTAGACGGCGCGGGTAAACTCCTCTGGGGAGGGAAGAAAAACAGTTGGGGAGTAGTCTTCATTACAGATGTTTGCTACCAATATTTACATTACTTTAGCTTGAGACAAAATCATAACGATTGTGGGTCACCTGGATGGTTTGTTTGCCTCATTTGATTGACTTACTACAGAAAAATAAGCATTGTGCCGCCATAACGTGACAACAAACTGTGAGTCTTCACCTTGACCAACGGAGCGGTTGGCGAAGTTGTACATTTGCATGGCGATGGTGAAATCCTCCAGGTTGTTTAGGAACTGGAAGAAGGACCTGAACTCCTCAAAGGTGATTCCCTGCGAAGAGATGATGACAACCAGACGACGCCTTTTTATTCGCGAAACACATAGCTTGCGAATTGCAACGCGAGAAAATGGTGAAGTGCCAGCAGATAGATAATACACCCAAACAGACAGAGTATACATTGCTGGATTTTCCCCTGTGCAGTATGGACACGCTGAGCTGTCAGCGGCAGGGGGGGGGAGGATTGTAGCTTTTGGGAAGAGGTCAGGCCCATTTTGCAGACTTTTCTAAGGCAGATTAACCTGATACTTCAATAAACAAAAACAACAAAAGTGATGAATCCCCAAACATCTCAGGCTTGGCTGATGACTCAAACACTGAGTCCATTGATCTCCACTCAACCGTCCCGCAGCTACTAGCTCCTTCTCTCGCCGGGGGCCTCGCCAAACAGGCAGCACACACGGCCGAACAAACGGAGTAATGACTAATCTGTGTCGCTTTGCTGTTTTAACAAGGCGAGGGCCATAAAATATCTCTTAGCCCCTTACGACGAGACCCACTTGATCGTCAATGGAGATCTAGCAACAGGCTACTCGAGGTGGCTGAGGAGCTGCCGGCGTCTTTTCAGCGCGCCAAGAGGAAAAACAAATTAAAGCTTCAAAGGAGGATGTTTCACTCAACAGACAATTCAGCGGGCGGTTGCAAAATAAATAAATCGTCCCACACTCACACAAAACGACGGAGTGCAAGTCTGTGAAAGGGAACTAATTCATTCAAAGGAATCGCTCAACATTTTGCGAAAAACACTTCTTCCCTTTCTGTCTGGGAGTGAGATGAGAAGGTTACATACATTTAACAAATTATATTTAGATGGTGTTAAGCTGTACAAAAAACGCAATGTAAAAGCAACAATTTGTTATTTTTCTGGGAGTTACGTCATGGAACTAGGGCTTAGATTTTGAACATCGTAATAACAGTAAGCATTACAGTGAAGTGATGTAAATCTCTGAAATTAGACTGTTCAATTATTATCTGTACTCGCTTAGTCCTTATTTCCACATTCTTGATCATTGTTTATCAAAAAATCTCATTGTGTAAATATTTTGTAAAAGCACCAATAATTAACCCTAGAATATTGTCGCAATATCGGTATGGAGGTATTTGGTCAAAAATATAGTGATATTTGATTTTCTCCGCATTGCTCGGCCCTACATGGAACTATTTTGTGTACGGGCGCAGTGACGTCAGGGTGTCAGGTGTTGTACCACATCAGAGTATGTATCACATGTCAGAGGTAACATGTGATGACAAATCAGAAGAGGGGAAAAAGGGGCGCACCTTTTCGTCCGGCAAGCCGTGGCGCACGTTCTCCAGATACTCGCTGACATCGTCCACGTTGGTGTAGCGAAGGAGGATCCGAGCAAAGTCTTCCTCGCTGATGGTGGACAGGCCCTTGGAGTAGGAGAGGAATTCTATCTCGAGCACCTCTGTCTGCAGGTTGTCCATGAACCTGGAGGAGCGAGACGGACCGCTGACAGGTAACGCCACCACCACAAACTCACATGCACAAAGGAACACTTAACATAGTCGCACGGTTTAGCCGTCGGAGGCATGGAAATGATTAATGGCCTTATTACACTGTAAGATAATCATTTTCTCGGGGACATATTGATTCATTACAGAGCGAACAAAGTGGTTTTCTACTCACTCGTAAAAATCTTCAAATTTCAATTCAGCTTTGCCTTTTTTTCCAAAGAAGTGCACCAGCAGCGTTGTCTCTGTCTTTTCATCCACCTGCTAACAGAGGGAAAGGGACTTAATTAAACATCCTCATAGCTTTAAGTAGCAATGATTTATCCAAACATTGAGTCAATTTGCACAAAATCCCAATCTGAGCTGCCAGAATGAGCTGTTTTCTAACTGAGAGTGTATCATGAAAACACCAGGTAAACATTAACAATGACTTAATCTAACCACACTGATAGCTTGCAGCAAAGATGTTAGTTAATACCCAGATTCTGTCGAATAAGAGTTAATGGTTAATTTTTCACCGTGCCTGAAACCAAACAGTGGGCCAGCATTTCTCATTTCTGCACGATACAAACACGTGCCATGCAATAGATTCATTAAACATGCTACAGAGGAGATATTAGTCAGTATTTACTCTTGCTAACAAGAAGACTAAATAAATAAATCCACAGTGCTAACATGGAACCTGCAGTACGGACAGTCATAGCCTGCTTCACAGTATTGACTGTATAACCAAAGTAATGAGGGCGTGGCTACCTCGGTGAGATCAGAAAACAGAACTTGACTTGTGCCACGTCTGAGAACATCCCACATGCCGCGGGCCTCCACATGCTGACTGTCTTTGTCAAGAACCTGTGGCAGCAGTTGAAGCACAGCTGTTAGAAGACAAAACACATCTGGAGAAGGAAGATGGACGGACAAACGTGGACGGCACTGAGGCAGGCAGGAAGAAACAGATGCACAGACTGGAAAGAAGATGAAAAGTCAGATAAAAAAATTAAAAAAAACATCAGAGACAGACGGGCAGAAACAGACTGGGGCTGCCGGCGGTGTATCTGAGAGGCCCATCGGCCCTGACGTGGGCCTGCTCTGCAGCCATGCATGCAGCCTCTTGGCAGGACGTTGAGCCAACACAGCTAACACATGTCCAAAGCATGCAAGGCGTGAGAGCCGAAGGGTGGTTCATGCCAGGTTGTCATCATTTGATGTTAAGCTGAGAGGTAAATGCAAGTTATCAGACATCGTTGTCTTGTGAGATAAGTTCAGAGCAAGCAGCAACCTCTGAAAAGTGAAGCCGTTGCTGAAGTGCCTCAAACCTGCATTCCCTCTGATGACCATCAGGGGGCGACTCCTCTGGTTGCAAAAATAAGTCCCATTTTATAGAAGTCTATGAGAAAATGACCCAACGTCTCACTTTATTCATTACCTCAGTACATATTGTTAACATGTTCATTTAGTAAACTATGGTCAATTTAGAGTGAAATAGAGAGGTTGCAAAAAAACAAAATGGCGACAGCAATAAACCAAGATGGCGACGGCCAAAATTCCGAACTCGAGGCTTCGAAACTGTAGTCCACAAACCAATGGGTGATGTCACGACGACTACGTCTTATATACAGTCTATGGTTCAGAGTCTGCATTTGACCAATGCATTAAATGCACATTTCCTGCTCAATGTTGTCTGCAACAACAAAAAAGTTGTTTTTTCCCTATGAGGTCAGGCTCCCGATCTCTGACTAACCAATCATTATCACTATTTTGTTATTTTAGGCTGCCTTGAAACATCTGGCCGGGGACAGCAGATGGAAATTAGCCTCTCTGGCTAACTCTGGCTCACTTACAGTTCAACTGTTGATTGGTGTGCATTGTCCCTGAAAAATAAATAAATAAACAATTACAGTTTACACTGTTTTCACTGTCCCGCCTGCTGTGGGACAACTTTAACTACAGCTATGTGTCATGTGCAATGAAACGATCACAGGGAATCTGTCTTGAGTAGTTAAGAAACAAGAAAGAAACAAACAGAACCACATTGTTGCCTCTTGCTCTCATTCTGTTTTTTCACCCCATCATTTTTTTACGCCAGCTGGCGTCGACACGTGTTCATAAGTATGGCCTGCTTCATTTCATAATATTTATTTCTCTTATCAACTTTTTTTTTTTTCATCTCTCAAGCCTGAGGGTGAATGTGAGCCAGCTGATTAAACAGCTCTTCCTCTGCGCCTCGTCGCTTTTCCCCAGAGAGAGAGAGAGAGAGAGAGAGAGAGAGAGAGAGAGAGAGAGAGA